TGAATTGGCGTTTAAAGACGAACTTAAGGCCAGAAAACGGGTTCTCCGGAGGCTAGGGTAATTGAAATTCTTATATAGTTTCTCCTCATTTTGTTTCTTTTTTCCTCTGTTATTTTCCTTTGCTAGCTGCATGGTATGCGCTTTAACTTAATGGTGCGTTAGGCTAGGGAACAGTAATCTCGTTTTTAGTTGTTGCTTCACAAATCTAGACCATGAACTAGCAGAGGGAAAACTTTTTCCTTTGACTTGTGCTCATATTTTACTGCAGCACCGTGTTCAGTTCTCTTTTGACTTTTGATAGGGGTTCACTCTTGGAGTGCCATGAAAGCACTCCAAACTGTCTTAATTTGATTAGTTCTTCATATGCAATTATTAAATATGGTAAATTTTATTTACCTTTGCTGAGGTTTGACCTAATTACATGTGGGTCCATGTAGCTAAGAAAACAGTTGGAGATCTCTGAATTTTCAGAATTTCAAAGGATGCTTCTGGCAACTTTTGATACCAATGAATCTGTTTGTAGTTTAGCTAACCAGAGGGGAGGTCAATAAATTCTCCTATTAAATGTGAGGTGTAATTTGGCATTATGAAAAGTGATAGAATTTGAGGTGGGTTTGACACCTCACCTAATAAGGCCTTGTTGAATGGGAGGATTCTCCCCTCTTATAAACCAGTAGGCTTGAGCGTGTTTAGTCGGTGTGAGATTCTAACACTCCCTCTCACGATCAAGCTCCATATGTTGACTCATTCCTGTTGATGGAGGTAGTTGCTTGACTCACCTACTGGTTAAGCACCTAATCAATGTGGGACTCCAACAAAAAGAATGTTTTAGGTTTGCTTTGCTCTGATGGTTTTAGAAGGTCAAAACTGATGCTTCATCTGCAATTATGTATTATTTTTCTTATTTGTGTGTAATGCCATTTTCTTAGTTTCATCTGCAATTTTGTCTTAGCATCTTTTTTTTTTTTTTGTTTTTTTAATAAGGTTTTGAGGAGATTTTTTGATGTAAGATTACCAGGATTTTACATTTCTATCAAGATTTTTAGATAACCTGTTGATATTTTAAATTTTTATGAAATTGACCAAATAAAATGATCTTTTAAATCAAATGTGACTTATTGTAGATGTAGACTTAAAAGCTAATTATTTTAAAGGCAATTAGTAGCACAATCTTCTTACTCATGGAGTATTGTAGGAACCGTATTCCATTGTATCAGTTATCAACAAGTGGAAATTTACAATAAGTATAAAGATGTGTTGCACTAAGTACTGAAGACAATAAGCAGCGAGTAGTATCTATATAGCATCCAAATTTATGCACATCAACTTTCAATAATTGAAAATTTTGCTGTAAATTTAACATACTACATTTTGACCTGATTCTGATTTTTTCATCAAAATATCATTCATTTGCCATGAATGTAATAATAATGATATTATTATCTCGAATTGTTATGTGATGGTGTTGTGGATGTTGCAGATACGTCACAAGTGATGATGTTGTAGAATTGAAGGGAAAGGTTGCTTGTGAAATCAGTAGTGCTGATGAGCTTACCCTGACAGAGCTTATGTTCAATGGAGTGCTAAAAGACATAAAGGTGGAAGAAATGGTGTCTCTTCTCTCTTGTTTTGTATGGCAAGAGAAGCTCCCAGATGCTGCAAAACCCAGAGAAGAACTGGAGTTGCTGTTTACACAATTACAAGATACAGCTCGGAGAGTTGCTAAAGTTCAGTTGGAGTGCAAGGTACTTTTGAAACTTAATATTGGTACTTGTTTTCTTTCTTTCTTTTTTCTTTTTTCTTTTTTTTTTTAACCTAAACAGTTTCTTGTATTGGTATTAAGCATATTATTGTACTCATGATACTCACTTTAGGTTTGGATCTCTAATTCAATTTAGATGTGTAAATCTCAGTACGATGTGGAGCATGCTAGTGTATAAAACTCTGTTTAAAATACTGATGACTTATATGTAAATTCTAATCTTCTGTTTGAATTGCTTGTTTTAATTAAGTTTGTTTATTACTTTCTTTTATATTTCAGGTCCAAATCGATGTGGAGAGTTTTGTGAGTTCATTTCGGCCTGATATCATGGAGGCTGTTTATGCTTGGGCTAAAGGATCCAAATTCTACGAGATAATGGAAATTACACAGGTTTTTGAAGGTAGTTTGATCAGGGCAATTAGGAGACTGGAAGAAGTACTCCAGCAGCTTATACTAGCAGCAAAATCTATTGGGGAAGCAGAGCTTGAAGCGAAATTTGAAGATGCTGTTTCCAAGATTAAGAGAGACATTGTGTTTGCAGCATCGTTGTACTTGTAATTCACCTCAAGCCTTTCTCGTATCTCTGCAAAAGGTAAGTATTACCTGGAGTTGCTTTTCCATTGGATGATACAAATGGATTGAACAAAACATGAAGAGTGAATATACCCCGCTCTAATGATAGCAAGTCCTCCATATGGGGACTGGATATGGAAATGGAATCAGAAATGGGAAAGGAGAGGTAAAGTCTTGGTGAGAACCCGGAAAACAGCTCCTTGAGGATGAGCTTGACTTCATGGCACTCACTAATTTATCGGAAAGATGAAGAGTATTGTATTCTGTAATATAGCGAAGGCTTTTAGTGGCATTATTAAACATATGATTTATTTGGAAAGTAGAATGCTACAAAATAGAATTATTAAACAAGGCAAAGGAAGCAGTGTAACCTTTGCCTTACAATTTTGTTTTGATAATGTTGTAATTGAACAACTAATGGTTATGAATTATTGAAATTTTTGTTGAAATCATATCAAGATGTTGGGATTTATCAATATTCATGTTGAATTTAGATGTGCTGAAATGGTTTGCCTTGGTTAAACTTAAAAACTTAAAAGTGTACATGTAGAGAATTTGTGAGATCTCATTTATCAATTCCTTGGGGGATTTATTCATTTTGAATTAATTTTTAGATACCTCCATAAGATGGCATAGCACTAAATTAATGTTATTGAAAAGTATTTTATATCTCCCTAGAATTATTTTTTATTTTTTAATATTACGAAAATTCCTTTTACAAGTATCAAAATCTCTATACAAAGGTATTTAATCTTTGGTTTTGTTTAAAGGACAAAAATCAGGGACTTGCATATTATACCTTTGATGAAACATAAAATAATATGTTTTTTTTTTTAATTTTACAATGTTAGACTATGTTAAATTATACAAGACTTGATAGTCTTAACTTTTAATAATATGGTTTATCAATCTCATTACAAAATGTTACACCATACTAGATGGCGCTATTGCTAAACTTAGTTGTCACTTGTCAGTAGTCTAGGGTATTCCAATTACTTTTATCATTTTATTTTTCATTAAGGGCAATTAGATTAAATCATGTAATTTTATGGTTAAAGACTTAAAGTTACCCTTTAGGCCTTTAAAGAAAACCATAACATTCCGAAAATTAAAATTAGTGTTGATAGCTATACAGGGAATTTCTCTTAATCTAACAGCTATGGATTTATTTAATTTTAATTAATCTTTCTAACAACTATGGTGTCGTAACTTCAATTGAAAATTTTAATAGAAGTTGAAACATTTATTAAATGTTAAGATATCTCTTTGTTATTAATATTAATTGTTTTAAGGGTTTTCAATAGTAAAACCCAGTGGGTATGGCCTTTTTGTGCTAGTAGAAATACAACTCTAGCCCTATTTTGTACGGACGGTTTGATTATTCTATTTAAGTTTAAATGAAAGTAACCTTTTTACTATTTATCCAAATTCAATCAATCTAACATCTAAAGTCTATTAACAATGTTGAGAGATTACTTTATTTTTTGGTGGTTAAATTGTTGATAAATTTGAAAGTTAAGTCGATAATATTTTGAAAACCATTGGTGTTCACTACAAAAAAAGGCCAAACACATGAGTTAGGGTAGTATTTTTGAAACTAACGAATGCTCATCATAAAAAGGCTAACACACGGGGTTTATTATTAAAAATAAATAAATAAACTTGTTTTGATGATATCTACTATTAAAAAAAAATAATAATAACAAGACACATTCAAACTGCTTTCAAACTTCACACTCAAGTATTTTTTGTTACCCGTTTGTAATTGTTCCGATAAAATTATAGCATGATACCAAACAAACCATTAAAAAGAAAGATAATCTGCATCCGATTCTAAGATCATGAAATTCTAATCTATCAACTGAAATCATAATGATAAGAGGAGGAAGAAGACCTTCCATGAGTCCTTTTAGCTTGATTTCAAAAACAAAACCACCTTGGTAGGTCCACAACGAACAATATCCTATTATGTAAGCATGCATCGTTATATACACAATGAACGCAATGCCTTTAAGAGACTTTAGTCTATTGATTCTCTCGCTCTGTGAATCATTTTGCTTCATGTAGCTTTATTGTTCTATTGATACTGAATTCTGCACTATAAGGTCTTCCAAAATTAGTTCTATCTCTCTATTCCTAGCTTTTCTACAATATGCGCTTAAATGTTATGTAATACCACCGAGCTATGAACCCATTAATTCTGCAGTAATAATTTTTTCTCCCATTATCACAACACATATAGATCATCGAGATCTATCCAATTGAGATTGCATATGATGCTAATCTCATTTGGCCAAACCGCCAAAGAACAAATTCAAGCCGAAATTTCTATTATCCTTGTTCCGCATTGTGATATCCACGTATTAAGAATGATACTGAGTCAACCACTTGAACTACAGACTTAGTTCCAACTCTGCTATGAGTGGAATCACAAACCCTATATAATTTATAAACTATCTAAGATTTGCATGACCACAACTTAGTATCTAATCATTATCGTTCTCTAACTTCCACATATTTTTGTCTAGTTCTCTGACATTTTTACATACATAACGTTTCTACCATGCATCTTGTGATTGAGATTCAACTGCTTGTTATAATGACTTTTCATTTCTTGAAGCAAATTTGCATGGTGAGAATCACAAATGATCATAACATATACACATCAAAGAAACAGTAAACCCTCTGAGACGGTAATCTTATTTTAATACTTCAAGGAAAAATAGCCATGATCTGTTATATTACCTATAAAATCCTTTTATCATATAAATTCTAAAAATATACACATGAAATCTGCAGAAGAAAGAAATTTACCAGGTTCATGTATAAACTATCTTTGCACAATTCAGCAGGAGGTAGAATGCAATTCAGATTCTAGATAGTATAGTTACCATCATTCAAACATTTGTGTTGGCTGAAGAAGAACCCAACAACGCATGCTTCCTTAACCAGTACTGGTCTAATCTCTGCCTTGCATATCCGATATAGTCGAAGTCAATTTTGTTCACGTGTGCCTGGAAAGGTACAAATCACAACTTTAAAATAATAAGGGTATTGAAGTTAGATGTGTGAAAACTCTTTCCTATCTTTACGGCATAGCGTCCATACATGTAGCCACCAGAATGAGGCCATAAGCATCAAATAAGTTGTAGGGTACTGACAAGGTTAATTTGAAATTAAACAAATTAAAGTTGCGTGCAGAATAATTTCTTGTGCAGACTGCATCTGAGGATCATCAATAACGGAGAGGAAACTATTCAAATATTAATAATATGTTCAGGAGAAAAATCTCTGGTCCTTTTTTTCTTTTTAAAGAATCAAGGTGGTAGAACATCAACTATCTACCAAATGCCAAAGAGACTGCTTCTTGTCATACCACATCCTGGATTTTTTTTCAAAACAGTAAAATTCAAATGAAGAAAGTTAAACTGAGTTTGTATAGATTACCGATATAATTCCCCATAAGCCCCAAACCAAATGGCTTGCAAGAGTATACTTCTCAACATCTTGAAGTAGCTGCTCCACTTCCAAATTATTGGGTTGATTACCTGTGTCAACATAAAATAATTTGGATGATGGAAACAACCAAACCAGTTTATCCTTGCAGATTATTCCAATTTTATGCATTGACCCCAATAAACTGGTTGCAAACTGCCTTGATCCTTTGACCCCACCAAGAAAACAGCACACTAAAGTCCAACCTAGTTGCCTTCATGTATAACTTTGTATTGGTCAAAATTTATATTAATGCATACCAATAAAACTGCAGCTTAATTACACTTATTCATGAAGATTGAGTGGCAACTGTAGTACGTGACACAGAATTATGTTTGTCCTATTGAACATTTGAAGTCCCATCACAAGTAAATAGTTAACATCTCAGATTCTTCATATCATTCAGCAAAAAGAAATCTATATCTATCAACCTGCTTTCGCATGATATATTACTAAATGCTTCATGAATGGGAGTAAGAGATGGATACCTGTGGAACTCAGATAAGCACGCAGAAATCTTTGACGCTCCTCCAAACCTATTGTAAGATGCAGATCAAGAGGGTGTTTACTGTAGTCCAAAAAAAATGAAACAAATGAATGAAATAGGTCATTATGGTCACCCACCAGGGTATTTACTGTAGTCCATAAGATGAGGAGTTTCTGTATGATAATCAGCAGCCATCTCGCAGAAGTGGTTTGCTATGTCATATGCAATGGGATTGTAACTTGCATACTCATAGTCCTATTAGAGAATATAATATACACTACAATGATGGAATTGAACTTCATAAAAGCCAATCAAATGTAAAGCATTCTAAAGAAGGAAATTTGTGAAAATAATCATCACATTCATAATTGTAGGTTACAGATCATGAAAAATGATTATTTTTCTCCATACCATATAAGAATCTACTTGCTTTATAACCAAATGCAGGCATATGTTCAACATCAGACCAATTAAACACAAAATCAACTCAAATCTGAGTTTGTGCGATCTTAATGTGAGAAATTAAAAGTAATCCTACCTTCACAAGTACATCATTCCTTAGAAAATTAATGTGCTTTGGCACTATTTTTCCAAGTATTTAGGAGGTAATATAAATTAAGGCGAATTCTCCAGCAATATTAAGGAGAAAATGTGTAGCTGTGCTTCAGGGGTCAATCTGCAACATCATCGTTTGAAATCAATGCAGTTATAACAAGGTTAGACAGAAATCATGTAAAATGATTCTGCATTAAGATGGTTGTTCTTGACCCAAAACCATGAATTTTTCTTCCATAAAACTGACCTAAAGAGGAGATATTGGCATGCATCTGGCTCATGTTATTTTTTATTTTTTTTACATGCTTCATCTATCCATTCCTTTTTTGAAAATTAATTTGTTTTCTCTTACAATTAATCAATTTTTTTTTTTGTTTGAATATTTTCTTGGTCACTAATAGAGGGTTAGTTTTTCACAATATCCTGTAAAAAGCACTCAATCAGTAAGTAGTAGATATTATTGTTTGCATTTCTTGTTTCTATAATATATGCATAAATTAAAATTAGGAATAGTTGAATTCCCCATTTATTTATTTTATATTTGGTATTAACTCACGATCTGAATCATGCAATTTGTGTCCTTTTGGTCTAATTGCTATTTTCTTACAACTAATTTACTGTAGTTTCCTATCATGTATAAACAAATCAGGATTTAATTAACATATGATATAAGAATATTCCCATTATGTAAAATGCAAAACAGGATGCAATTTTAGTAAATGAAACTACACAATAAAAATGATAGGAACAATAAAGATGGAAAAAGTGTATGAATGGAAGTCATAATTTAGTGCATATACTATATATTGAGAGCAAAAAAAAAAAAAAGAGAGAGATTAAAACAAAAAGAAAAAATCAATAGTTTAAATATCTGACTATAGATGGTTAAGAAAATCCAACACATGGCTTCACCTTTAAATTATGATAAGAAAATCATGCATTATATTCACGAACACCAAGAAAAACTTACGATTATGGTTATTGTCTTAGTCTCTTCGTCAAACATTATGTTACCATATTGTAAATCATTGTGGCAAAAACCTAAACGTTGATGGTTCTGATAGAGTGCCTTTTCTAATTTAGAGATTTCCTCATCAATGGCATCCAAGTGAAATGCCTTAGCTTCTTCTGGAGAGGACAAACTCTTAGCCGCTTGGAGCCAATTTCTGAAAATTTGAGAAAAAATTATTTCAGATGTTTTGGAAAAGAGGATTTTAATCTCTTCTAGATTAAAATGCATATAACTTTTTTTGACCTTTTTAAACAAGTTAAGGGAGCAGAGAGAAAGGAAACATACCGTGACCTATCCCAAAGCCTGACATTCTTTGGACCAGGCATGTCAAGCTCATTAAACTCTTTCAATTTTGCTGCTACAAGGGCAGATATTTCTAGGTCACGCAGATCAGACGCAGAGAGTGTCTGAAATCCAGACAAGGAGAAAAGAAAAAATTAACATGATGTTTACTATCATTTTTTTAAATAAATAAATGCTTCAGTGCTAAGAAATAAAGAAAAAAAACTTGATTTTTCCTCTCTTCTCTTCTAACAATAGGTAATCTTTATCATAGTTCTTTACATCTCCTAAAAACTAAGTCAAATTTTTCATTACACAAACTATGAACAACCATTATTTTCTTTTTTTGAAAATGATGGTAGTAGTGTAGCATATAGTAAAGAATGAACATTCTTTTAACAAAAACTGGACTTTAAACTTTACTAGATGCCCAAATTTTACCATTCCCCTTTTAACAATAGGTAACATTTGATTTCTGTTACCCACCCTTGATGTATTTGGACTTGGAAAAACGTAAAACTTTAGACCAATAATTTCTTTAACCAAAGCTTTTGTAAATCTAGTTTAACAACTTAAGTAAAAAACATATTAAGTGCAGTTTCAGGAAATAAGAATTATCCAAGAGGACTGCAGAAGTAAAAATCAAAATACCAGAGAAAAGCATCGCATCGTTCTACACTCATGTAAGCAAAGGTGAGTAAATGAAAAGAACATCAAGTCCATTTGGTTTTGTGAAAAAGTATTTGACCCAGCTTGTGTCCCAAACAGAAAGAAGGACTCTAAGCAGAAAGAAGAATTTATCAACATTTGCATCAAACTTGACTCCACTGATCTCATTTAATCTAGTCCAAAGGAATTCATGAACTTGAAAATAATCTACAATGATGAACTTATCACTGTCAATCCTGTTATAGGACAAGCATCTTTTGAACCAAATATACATATCACAATCAAAAATTAACATAACAATACCCGTGCATTGATAAAATCTTCAACTCGGCCATATGGGAACCAAGCCAACAACCGAGGTCCCTGCCCATGCTTTGACATAAACTCAAATGTCCTAATCTCATCATTCCTGTCAAAGAAAACCTCCACACCCTCACCATAGAGCCTAAGTAGAACCTTGCGAGAGACTTTCTCTGTTTTCGTTGGCCACTTTATTTGAAAGACCTCATTGGTCATTGCACCCTTAAGAGGGATAACTTGCAAGGCATTTGCATCAAGTACATCTTCCCACTTAGATGCCAGTGATTTTAGAGTCTCCTTTACTTCTACTGGTAGACGACCTTCTTTGTTCTCTACAGCATTTTCTACAACACCCATAATAGAAAATTCCCCACCAATGTTCCACAAAACTGAGAATAAAATAAGACTGAAATCACTAGAATCATTCAGTTTTTCCCAAGGTTCATTCAATAACACTTAAAAGACTAAGAAATTACCAGCAAACTTAATCAAGACCATTATGTCTTAACCAAGTTTGACAGAGACCAAAGAAACAAATTAAAGATTGAGTTGACATCTCACAAACACATTTTAATTTTCTCGGAATTTTCATCTAATTTTTCTATCAAAATGAAAAATTTTACACAAGTTTCCTATCAATTAAACAAAAGCAAGTTATTTAAAGAGAATAACTGGCATATAAAGTTAGACTAAATTAACACTTTTAAGATTAAATTTGCATCAAAACTTACAAGCCCATCTTCATTTTCTTGGCACTTTCCTCTAATTTTTCTATCAAAATGAAATTTTTTACAAAAGTTTCCAATCAATCAAACAAAAGCAAATTCTTATAGGTAGACCAAACTAACGCCCTGAAGACTAAATTTGCCTCAAAATTCACACACATCGGCATTTTCATCAGAATTTTCTATCACAATATAAAATTCCATACAATTTTGAATTTTCTCATCAACCAAACAAAAGCAAGTTCTTTGAATTCATTAACAATGCATATAAAATTGACGATGATTATATTTTACCTTTTTAAACAAGTTTTAAATGTTAAATCGACATCAAAGGCCATAAATAAATTTTCATTTTCTAGGCATTTTTATTGCTTCATAATAACTAAATTTGCATTAAAACTCACACATACATTGGCATTTTCATCAAAATTTTCTATCAAAATATAAAATTCCACAATTTTGAATTTTCCCATCTACCAAAGAAAAACAAGTTCTTTAAATTCACTAACTATGCATATAAAATTAACAATGATGTATTTTACCTTTTTAACAAGTTTTAAAAATTAAATCGACGTCAAAATTCACGAATAAATTCTCATTTTCTAGGCATTTTAATTACTTATTTCATCCAAAAAAAATATTCCACATATTTTTCTCATCAATAAAACAGAAGCAAATCCTTCAACCATAACAAAAACATAACGCACCGTATCGGCGGTTGCCTCAATGAATTAAAACGAGTGGTTTCAGATTGTCCACAAATAACACGAAGAAGAAGAGAGTATTTAGCATCAGGTTGGCGCGGGCTTTTGTACAATACATGATGGCGTAGTTTTTAGAATTGGAGAAATTTTGATTCTCCCAAGATTGGATTTGAACCGTTGGATTCTGAACTTGGTTAATCAAGGAATTTAACCACTTAAAAACATATTTAATTAAATAATTAATTATAGAAATATTTAAACATATGAGTATTCTTAAAATTGAGAGGCTGAAGCTAAACCGCTGAATTTTTAATAATAATAATTATTTAAGCTTTAAAATATTTCACATTTTTTGTTACTTAAACTTAAAAGTAATTGTCGGATAAAACAATTTTTTATCTTATGGAAAAAAATAAGGCGGCATTTAATTTTTTTTTACAATGTCAATAATAGTGTTTGAATTACAAATGATTGTAAATAAATTTAATATTAAACAAACTGAAGAGAAAATACTATTGAAATTATAACTAGGGGGAAATTACACAAACCTACCTTAAGTTTGACCAAAAAAAAAAAAAAAAAACAATAATGCTATGGACACAGACTTTTTTACACCGAAATCTTGTATCAGTCTATGTGTTCCATGATTCACACTAGCAAATCAGATATGTTTCACGTTATTAATTTTTTTTTCTAGTGAACGACCGTTCATCAACTATGGACGGTCGTTTACTTACTATGGACTCCCGTCCATATATTATGGACGGGGTCCATTTATTACGAACGGGCGTCCCCATTAAATGACGCATGTCCATCAGTAAAATGGATAATTTTTTTTTATAAAAATTAGGAACGGCCGTCCACAATTTATGGATGGTTGTTCCTAAATATTGGACGGAGTTCATCTTTAATGGACGCCCCTTCATTAACAATTCTTTTTAAAAAATTAAAAACATTTAGGGACGACCGTTCATCAGTTATGGCAAGCCGTCCCTTAGTTTTTGGACGCTTGTCCATGAATTGTGGACGGGCGGACCTTAAGTTTGGATGGGCATCCATAAGGAATGGACGCCCGTCCCTTATTGTGGTTTAAAAGGGTTCATGTTTAATAGAGTTACCAGGGCTACCATCAATCAGTCGGTATGGACGCCCGTCCCTTATTGTGGTTTAAAAGGGTTCATGTTTAATAGAGTTACCAGGGCTACCATCACTCAGTAGTATGGACGCCCGTCCCTTATTGTGGTTTAAAAGGGTTCATGTTTAATAGAGTTACCAGGGCTACCATCACTCAGTAGTTGTGATCTTCCTTCTTTTTTACTCCCTTCAAATAAGTACCCTCATGCATTAGAGTTATTTCAGGAGCAAATGGAGGCTCTTCATGAAGAAAGCAACCCGAAAATACTTTTTAACACATTCGATGCATTAGAATCTGAGGCGTTAATAGCTATTGATAAATTCAACATGATAGCAGTCGGACCTTTGATTCCATCTGCATTTTTGGATGGAAAAGACCCATCTGATACTGCATTTGGAGCGAATCTATTCCGTGTTTCAAATGATTATATTGAATGGCTAAACTCAAAGCCCAAGTTATCAGTAGTTTATGTGTTGTTTGGAAGTTTGATCGTGTTGGAAAAGCAACAGATGGAGGATATTGCACGTGGGTTGCTTGGTAGTGCCCACCCGTTCTTGTGTGTCATAAGAGAAAATCAAAATGAAGAGGAAGATGGAAAAGACCCATATGATATCTTGATTGCTTCTTTCTTTCATCTTGTGGGTCATAAGAGAAAATCAAAATGAAGAGGAAGATGGAAAAGACCCATCTAATATCTTGATTGCTTCTTTCTTTCATCTTGCACCCCTTGTAAGTAGTCAAAAAAGGCATCTAGCTCAGGTCTAAGCAAATAAAAATAAAGAAGGGAAGACAGGATGGCTAAGAAATAATTCCCTAACTGCATTCATAGAAGTAGAAGTCCCTCTTCCTGATTCCCTTGACCCCGTTCTCACCAAAGGTGTTCTGCATCAGTCCATCCATCAGACCTAGTAGCTTGTGTCTCACTCATATTGACCTAGGCAGGAGAAGAATTTTGGAGTCTATCAGATACTAGCCATGAGTAAGAGTGAGATGAGAGAATGTGCTAAACTGATTGATGATATTTGGAAGACGGGAGTGAGACTGAGTAAGAACGAAAGGGACGGGCGTCCATTCAAACTTAAGGGACACCCGTCCATAATTTATGGACGGGTTTCCAAAAATAAGGGACCGTCGTTCATAACTGATGAACGACTGTCTCTAATTTTTATAAAAAAAAATTATTCTATTTTATTGATGGACGGATGTAATAAATGGACCCCCATCCATATTATATGGACGGGAGTCTATAGTAAGTGAACGACCGTCCATAATTGATGAACGGCTGTTCACTAAAACAAAAAATTAATAACGTGAAACGTATCTGGTTTGCTGGTGTGAATCATAGAACACGTTGGTCGGTAAAAGATTTCGGTGTAAAAAGGTAGGTGTCCGTATCATTATTGAAAAAAAACTACTACTACAAAGGTGAACTTTAAATTTAACAATTAAAAGGATAAAATTGTCTTTTGATGTCTACTTTTTGGAAGAAAAAAAATTGTCCCTTGATACTATCTCTATTTTAAAACCCAAACTCATCCTTTCCGAAATCAAATTTGAAAAAAAAAAATAAAATAAAATTCTAAAACAGCCTTATTTAAAAAAAAAAAAAAAAAAAATCCACGAACTGACTTGAAGAAGGTATCAGGAATTGTCATTTCCAAAGACCCCTATAGAAGTGGAGGGGGTTGATATATACTACAATACTTTAAGCCCTTGCGTTAGATTGTACCCTAAAGTTTGTCCAAAAATAAAACGCCTTACATTTTAAACCAGAACAAAATACGAATCAAATACAACACGCCGTCGTTCTAAAGTGTCAGTAAAACAAACTAAGCAGAATACAAAGCCCAAATTGCATATCTGGAAATTTCTTGCATTTCCGTGGTTCATCTCAGCCTCTGACAGTCCGTTGCTGATTCCGTCATCTACCTACCGGAATTTTCTAGTTGTCACCACCGGAATTATCTTGCCGTCTTTGTCGCACCTCTATTCAACACTAAAGCCGTCGAGCCATTCACGTCATCCGCCGTTGTCCGAGGCGCCACCGTCCTGAGGTTTGTCTTTTTCAATCATCTAAGCTTTAAATTTCAATAATCTATCCAATTTTGTAAATTAATTGTCGTGGTTAGGGTTATATGAAGTTAGAAGCTGTGTTTTACTTAAGTGTGATATTGAGCCGATTGAATGGGAATTTGAGGGATTTTTATTTTTTCAGAATGATTATCTTTCAATAATTAAGAGAATAACCCGTAGCGAGGTTGTAGGTGGTAGGGTTTAAGAATTAAAAAGCAGTTTGAGTGAACAAAATGGTATTGAAAGGCGGTTTGCGAGGAATTCTGCTTCGGTTCTTCAGTATCACATTGGATTGTTGTTTTTACTGGAGCAACGCTGAGTGTTAATTTTTGGTCACCATTAATGGTTTCCCAGCATGACTGACTGCTCTTGTTTTATGTTTTAATTGTCTTAATGTATTAGCTTGAGCCTGGTTTGGTCCTTCTTGTTGCATTTGTTTGATTAGTGAGCAAATTAATTGTCTCAATGTACTAGTCCTGATTTTGTAAAGTTGATATGAACGTTTTTCCCAGGCCTCTAGTGGGCTAAGTAAAATGTCTTTAATTCTGAATGGTACAATACTAGCCTGAATTAAAGTGAGGGCATTCTCTTGCACTCTTGCAGAAGCTCTCTTGTGACTCACTGAAATTCTTGTTCGGAGTTGCCCAAGCTGAGGTAATTTAAGATTCTTGCTTCTGACACACATCTTAGAAAATCCTAGATGGTAGAGTTGAGCTATTGAGTCTCCTGTTTGTTTAACTTTTACATGCTTTTTGTTTTTGCTAGGAGTTGTTTTATCTTTGTATCATTCAGATTAGACTGAAAGTTCACTACACTTAATTCTTTGTTTTCTCAGCTACCAATCATAGCTTCATCTGACTTTTGAAAATCTGAATCTGGTGGTTCTTTGTTAAATTTATTATTATTCAGTTATTACTGCTGCTATTATTGATTGAACACTTTAAAATAAATCATCCATTATTCTTTTTTATTGTGTTTATTTGGACGAATTAGGGATCTAAATATATGCTTGTTTATATTCATTCATACATTATGTCTATATATTTATTATCCGCTTCATGTAACTCAATGGTTTGCATAAACAGTGAAATTGGAAGATGCCGAGGAAGAGGGAAAATGAAAGTAGTGGGAATGAAGATGGGTACTCAAAGAGGCAAAAAGTGGCAGGAGAGCAGTCATTGCCATCCCCTCCTCGTCTTGGTTTTGAGAACCCGCTATTACCCTTAGCTAACACGTATGATGATGACGATGAGGATGAGGAAGAAAATGGGAGGAGGGTACATAATGCTGGTGGTGGAGGATATAGTAGAGCCAGGGATGAACAAAATGGTAATGGAGTTCAAGAAGATGAGGATGATGAGGATGAGGATGACCATGATGATCAAGGGGTTGGTCAAGGGAAACGAAGCAGAGTTGTTGAATTGCGGAGGGACTGCCCTTATCTTGATACTGTTAATCGTCAGGTACCCAATCCATGTTAAGTACTGTAGGTAATATGTTATGTGGAAAGGAATTTGAGTATTTTTTTTTTAATGCTTGTGCTGCTGATTCATTAGAGACAAAATGTCTGCTTTTGTCAAGTATATATGTGGATAATTATATGTAACATTTTGTCATCCTTTATTGGCAGGTTTTGGATTTTGATTTTGAGAAGTTTTGCTCTGTTTCTCTGTCGAACTTGAATGTGTATGCATGTTTGGTTTGTGGGAAGTATTTCCAAGGAAGAGGACAGAAGTCCCATGCATATACTCATAGTTTGGAAGCAGGACACCATGTCTATATCAACCTTCGAACGGAGAAAGTTTATTGCCTACCCGACGGATATGAAATTAATGACCCATCATTGGACGATATCCGGCATGTGCTAAACCCTAGGTATTCCCTATATTAGACTATTTGCACCTCCTCTTTCTCATTTTATCCACCCTATACTTGTCCCACTTTTCTTT